ATTTTGCTTTGTTTCAACCAGAGCTATTTATGAATAGATTTCATATTACCTTAAAAACAAAGCAGTGATTCCAAAAATACAAGGCAAAGACGGGGCAGCAACTGCCAAGAAAACCATCCCTAACCCATAGTACCATGTAACAACATCACAAGATGGAATCTGCCGCTGATGAACTGTAGAACAGATAACAGACAAAATTAATGATGACAACATCACAATACCAACATAAAAAAGCAAAATGAACTCGAGGTCACATTTAACTGCTAGACAGAACTATTAAATAAACTAGAATCTCAAAGAACATACATTTTTCTGAATCATAATCAGAAGATTCAGAATGAGACAATGCTGTTCGTGATGCTGTGAGTTTTCCCCATCGATAAATTATATGCAAATAGCCTCCAAAGAACACAAAGAAGAGCGTGAAAGTCCATTCATACATCAAGAGCAAACCAGTCCATGGGGTCACTTGCCGAGGTACAATCAAAATTGCTACCCCAAGAGATACCACTGCAGCCAGAAAACAGACGCTGACAGATATGCTACCCAAATAAGCCGGGATCTTGTACTGGGCACTACTTAAGAGCTGTTTAACATCATGGAAAAAGAAGTTTCAGCACAATAAAAGGAATGCGAGTGCGCATCTAAAAGACTGAGACAAATCAAACCTGGTAAGTGGAATTGATCGTTGTAGTAGAAATACTACCACACACAAGCGGTCCACTTGCTCTAATCCTATAATAAAGGTGTCTGGCATGATCCCATAATGAACTTCTACAAAGTGAACCAATGAACCCTGGACTCTGCAGCAAGTACAGATAACAATATGTTGAGACATGAAATTCCACTTTCTTAATCCATAGAGGATAATAAGAACCATAGTAGCTGACCTTTATAAATGACCGATAACAGCAGAAGAGTAAAGCACAAAAAGGTAGGAGAAAAAGAAACTTCACAAAAAAATCATCTCTGGGATTTCGGCCTCCTGCTGTTCCAGGAAGGGATTCATCAAGACGTTCCCTTGCATTCTGCAGCACCACCTATTGGGTCAGTTTTCTCTTCCATACAAAATTTGGGGAGAACAAAATGTTGTGGCATTAACAGGCCCATGGAGGATATTAAGTTCCACAAATACCTGCCAGACATCAACAGGTTTCAACAGCCATGCTGTCCACCAGTCCCAAGGCTTAAGAGGCCCAAGTGTGTAGTGAATTACACGGAGCTCATCCTCATCCACCATCCACTGGATAAATCAGCATGAATTGTTAGATGATTGAACCGTAGGATATACCTTGTTACAAATATTCCATTACCTTGTTAGCAAGCATGTAAAGCCCAACATCTGCATTATAGAGCGTCGAAAGTCTCTCCATTTCAGGAACTGGTCTAGAATTCAGTACAGCTGGGGTCAAATTTGGTTCAAAAACATGTGCATTGGGAAATCCAGAGTAATATGAATTAAGAAATCCCTGATCTCCTGCCAAAGGTGACAAAAAAGACAAAGGCAGTCAGAAGTAGTGAAGTTTGAGGATCATATCTGGTAAATGATGCTTAGGAAATATAAAAGCACCAAACATATGATATTTGGAACAAGTGCTTAAAGATTGTTTCACCTCCAGTGTAAGATGGTAGAGTCTTTACTTTGCTCATCATGTCATCAAAAACAGTAGCAGATGGTTCCACTACCATGACTCCCGAATTCAATCTCTCAGAATGCTTTAAATTAGCACAGAATTTTCCACATTTGAAAAGATCTTCAATATTTTTAACCACAATAGTATCCGCATCGAGGTAAACAACTGCACATTTACATTCACGAATAAATCACTAAACTGGTTCTGTAATCTGTATCCTACATAAAAGAGGCTGAGATGTTCTTTCTTTCTTACTCTTTTTTTTTTTGTTTTTTTTTGGGGGGGGGTGTTGGTAGAACCCATAAATTAGATAGTTACCTGCAGTTGGAATTTCTTTAAAAGCAACTAGAAAAACATTACAATTCAGGAACGAAAAGAAACATTTGAAATAACTCAATCACTTTGAAAACACTCCTACTTGAGGGAAGAAAATATTCAAGAAGATCTACTCCATTTGGGAGGCCAGAACCTTCATGGTTGATGTCCTCCAGTACTTACACAACCAGATGCACCCACAATTATAGCTAAAAATATTTACCTTTCTTATAGTTAGTCATGTTGAAGATTTTCAGCTTCGTGTAGACACCCCAAAATCTCTTTGGTCGTACTTGATTAGGGTTTGCCAGTAAACTAATCTTCTCAACTATCCACCCATCAGCCTACGCAAAAATACCACCAATTTAAAGAGAAGTGCGAAACTAGACCAAATTTTAATGCTAGACATTCATGTTAACATCACCTTGAGTAAGGTTGGTTCCAAATTAAACAGAGAATGGGTGGTAAAATTAGGCTCAGAAGTTTCCTTCTACATGTGTTACAAAAATAAGAACTGCACTCCCTATTACAAAAGGTAACCAGAAAGATAAGCGAACACCAACTCTAGCTTAATAGTCAGTTCGATCAAACAATTTCAGATCAATCTCAGGACTCTAGGCGGCATAGGCGCTAACTTAAAAGAAAAAAATGATTCACTTCTCCTTAATCAAAATTTGAAAATTATATGATAAATGCAAAAAGGACTAGGCATGATACTTGAATTATTGTTGCCCGTGAACCCAAATCTACTCCGGAAGCAATCAGAGTTAAAGAGATTACCCGGAGAAGCTGTTTGGCAAAATCAGACACCCCATCCGAGACCAATACGACCATATCCTTCTTCGATCCGGTGTCGCGTATCGATTTCCCAAGAACGCGAACTCCCAATAAGAATTCATCTCCATACAAAAGGGTGACATAAGCCTCATCTGTCTTTTGAGATCTCAAAGAAGCTTCAGATCGAAGAGAAATGAATAAAATTATCAAACATACCCAAATATTTGGTTTCATTATAATCCGATTAGGGTGCTGAAAATTTTCTCGAGAAAAGTTGAGAAATTTTCTCGAGAAAGAGTGCTTCCCCCTAAGACAGTTTTTATCAGTGGAAAAGAGAAGAGTTGAGAGGGTTTGAATTGTTGAGCGTTCAGGCAAAAAAACAAAAATGGTTCTGAATTGTCTTCCTTTTAGTTATCGTTTCTGACCTTTCCTCTGGGATTCTTCCCGGGAATTTCCAGAGGAGAATTATACCGAGAATCTAAACTTTGAAACACTACTCTTGAAAAGATCTGCCGGAGACATGATTGAAATAATATCTTCAACTGTAAATTTTATAGAAATTAAAGAATTTAATTTAATTTTCCCAGTAATGATCCCGTGCAGCGGCGTTCAACTTCCTGACCAAGACCAAAACACCATCACCACATCCACCGCACTGGCATTTGATAATCACTTAAAAAAGAAAACCATCATAAGTTAATAATGCCATCTCTTATAGTTATGATTGAAATTTGAAACTCTTTTTTTCAATTTAATGGAATGAAACCCTTTTATTTGAATCTCTTTTTTCAGAATGAAAATAAACACGAGTTTATGATGCTATTAATTTTTAACTTTGGAAATCATTTTTTATTTTAAATCTGAACACAAATTATTTATTCAAGTATAAATACATTTATCAGGTGCTACTGACTGAAAACACAATTTTCAGGCCAAAAATGTAAACAATTTGTTACCGAGTGAAGCATAAAAAAATGTTTATTTGATACTTGAAACAATAAACAGTTGGTGTTATCAAAAGTCAGACGTTGCCTGGAAAGTAATACTTAAATTCTCATACACGCGTCTTTTATTGATGATGGTCATACAATACAATACGATGTCACGAGAACCAGGGTTAACTGTTTCTGAGCAAATATTTCTTTCGAGAATTAAAAACCCAGCATATATGAAGGCTTTAAAGAAGGTGGATCAACTTAGACCAAAAAAAAGAAAAAAATAAAAAAAAGGTGGATCAAAGACTTCTAATAATAATTGATCAAAACACATCAGAAAGTTGACGATTACAGGACATTCCCAAAATTTAGTAACGCGGCAAACCAAGTGGCCCTCTAACTTAGCATCTGCAAACAGCGCATAACTAATAGCATCTCTAGACCCTCTTTAATTAACTAAATAACACACTGTTCGCTTAGAGTTATCCTAACAGCAGTCCGCCCCATTCATCGCCTTCTCCTTATAAATGTGCCTCATTGGATCACTGCGCTTCCATCGCCTTCTTCTTCCCTTTCAAACATGATACCGCAGATACGTGGAAATTTCATGCAAATGTGAATAGGAAGGAAGAGAGGTGGCTTGTGAACCAGCCAGCTCCAGTTAGATAAATGGCTTAGGCAGCCAAAACGAATTACGGCAAGTCTGCGACCCTGGCTCTTTCTCCTCCTCCTCCTTCCTCTTCAAGCATCCTGCCTGGGTGAGGGTGACCACTCTGACAGGGTTTATGTATGTAACTCTAATTTGGAATTTGATGCCAAATTCTTGCCACTTGCGATAAATTGTCAATGATATGAGGTGCAGATTAAATATATACAGCATATTCTACTGGAGGCCATCAACGTACTTCAAGGAAACGTTCCTTATCCAAAACCTGATATATGGCTGTTGCCTTTCTCGCTCGGGGAAAAAGAAAGAGAAAAGTATATAAATGCAGGTCCGGTGTCGTTACCTGAACTCCTCAAAATACTACCTGACCTGAGCCAGGTTTACAGGCTTTCCATGATTGTTTTCCTCGTCTTCTCAGATAGAAAATGTTGGGGGGGGAAAAGTACTCGTTCTCGGTGGGTTAACAAAAACTTCCGCAGACCACAGTCATTGATAACCAGTTTATTCTACTGTTCGTATCATGCTCATAATCTAATATCTTTTACAATTCGAGATTCGGCAACAATCCTGCAAATGAAGATTCGTTTCCTCGGTGATTTTTGTATTAATCTTTGAGCGATAGTTTATATAATTCTTCTTACGTGATATACGCTCCTTTTGTCAGGCTGCCAGTAACTCGTCAAGTAGTTGTCCTCTTTTTTTATTTTTTATAATTTTTTATTCACATATCAACCTAGGAAGACATAAATGCTTCATTCACAAAATAAACGAAGATTCCAAGCAATGACGATAACGATGGCAGGGAAATCAAGTGATCACAGATTCACGGTCCTTGCTCGGCCAGAATCCAGAATCCACACTCGAGGATTGGAGAACACAAACCCTGACACACTCGCAACACCAGCACGGTACACAGATACAGATCACAGGACCTCATAAAGGCAGCGCCAAGCATAGTCATGTGGCAAAGACAAACCTGGAAAACAGCACAACAGTAACACAGACAAGAAGATGGTCATGCGAGGCAGCAGAGCACTAGCATATTTCATCTCCTTTCCAGTTCTTCTTCTCCTTCGGACCAGTTGGCCCCTCCTCCCCATAAAGCTCTGTAGGAAATAATTCCAGTATGTTCTCCAAAGAGAATCTAACAAACAACGGGAGCATATTAATTAGCTTCTCTATTTCAGATTGGGAATCATATACTATTGTAGGGCCCCACTCTCTCATGTACTGCAACCAATTCGGCTCTGCAACGGCTCCATCACCCAGATACTCTGCAGCAACAATCTCGTATTTGATGCTTGAATCCACAAAATGTTTGCTTCTGCTTGCATCATTGCGAATTCCTATTCCAAGTTTGGATGAGCCTTGAAGGTAAGTCCCAGGATGGGGGTAGCTAGCATGCCCACTTTTTGAGGAATACACAATGGCTTTGTTCCCCTCAATATACTCCAGGTTGAATGAATCTACCCATTCCCCTCCACTATGTTGAGAGAAGAACATTGACCATAACTCTCCAGTGAAGTTGCTCACTCGGAGGGTGAAATGTTCCCAATCACCCACGTGTTCTCCTATCTTACTCATAGCAATATTCATCGGTCCCACTTTAATGGTGGCAGGACCATTGAAGGGACAAAAAACCCACATCACGATGTCAGCAAAAGTCCCTCCTAATGCTGGTTTTACGTGAACATAGAGTTTTGCTGTCTCTATGTTCCCCTTCTTCAGATTTTGTCCAGCATCCTCATCACTTGGCAAATCTATCCAAAAAGCTCCATCATTTGTTCCTCCACAAGGTAAGTTTGATCCCTGATAATCTATAGCCTTACCCTTCTCACCGCCTTTCAAATACAGGAGTGCTCCATTTTTAAAAAACCATTCCACTGATGATGGCATGTATATCTCATCAGGGTGGAAGTAAACTGTGGGTCCATAATGCTGGATAAGTGCGCGAAGCTGGTTTAGATTTGGCATTGCATGTAAAGTGGAATCAAGATTTTTCAAGCATGCGATATCTACCACTTGTTCAGAACCAAAGAAAGTACTACAGAAGAATGTCCCAACAGAGACACCTCTACCCAGCATACCCCTCTCGCAGGGTCTTGTGTCCCAAACCTGAAATAGTTTTTTCACAAATTTTGAGTATACTGTTAGTAACAAATCATAAGTCTCACAAGTTTCTGTGAGATCTGCTCGCACACATCGAACTTCTTCAACTTGAGGTTCATCTGGTTTGCTAGTGACTACTACACCCATGGCTTTATAACCAACAGGAGGGTTTGGCAACCAAAAGTAACCACATCCATCATGCGGTGAATCAGTGCTCCATATTAGTGAATAGTCAAGAGGCCTTTTAAGAGCTGGATTATCTAACAAGGAAGGGGCATAATTAGCTTCAGTTTCGGGGGAAGCAGCTTCACGGGCCACAAGAACATATCCTCTCAATGGCTGATCGTTGGACTGGCAGTAGTGACCAAGGCAGGAAAAGCCATCTGGAATCTCCACTGGTCTATAAAATGTGAAACCCTGAGGCGCCCCTCGCAGATGAGTGCAGCTCCAAACTCTCTCAAACTTGGTTATTTTTAAGACTTCTATTTCCCCAAGGCATATTCTACCACTAGCAAAACCACCACCTGACCAGATCATTCAGAAAAGTTTTAATCAATTACATAGTCAATCAACTAGTAATTGATAAAATGGGCTCATAAAGCCAAATGGGAGCAAACAGAACCAGAGATGTATTGATTGCAAGAAATAGGTTTTCATGATAAGGCAAAAGCCACGCCCCATACTTATCTATACCAAGCAAAGGTAGAAACTAAAGTTTGCACGCTTTGATAAAGAATGAGGTCGATCGCCAATTCTACCCAACATCCAATTAATTTGGTGCTGGATTAAAGAATTAGTTTTTCTAAAACAACAATCACACGGCATTCATCAAGGGCATCTCGAAGCACGAGACAAAATATGTCCCAGTTGTAAGTTGTAACTCACAAGAGACATTCATCATTTGAAATCAAGATAAGAAATTTTACTTGATTGTGAGAAATGATTATGACAAAGCGTTTTATTTTCTGCAACAAACACGAGCTCTCTTTACCATACTTTAAGGCAAAGCAATAGGTAACGATGGCGAAGGAGACAAGCCAACCACGGAACTATTCAAAGCAGTAATCAATATAGAATCCCCATGGGACTCAGTCCATCTAAGAAATTCGCATGAGAACTCGATAATAAATACCGGATGAGACGGGAGAGCTTTGGCTCCTATTTTGAAAATTGCTATCCAGGAATTAAAATGGTGATCGCTAAATTAGTAGGAAAGAAGAAACACAATGCTCAAAAACTAGGCGAACGTAATTCCCAACCCCAAAGACGATCCCAAAAAATAAAAAAAAATAAAAGACTTATATTAATCCTAAAACAAATCAGGTAATTATCCAATCCCAAAAACACATCCTTGTATTGTATTAGTATATAAGCCATGTAGTCGAGCAATCCTGGCAAAATTAAGGGACAACCATGAACTAATAAATAGAAAGAATCCATAATCATCCCATAATGCTTTAAAAATACCCGGTGGCCATTGAGGAAGAGGTGAAGGCAGAGAGAACAGCTCTGGCTCGGACGAACAGAGTTCAGGGAAGCGGCTCCAGCAAAAGCACTTGCACCCAAACATCTCCACTAGCCACGAAACAATCTCAGCAAAACATTTCTATAAATTTTGTACACGATTATACTCTTTGCAGAAGTAGCAGAGCAATGATCATACGGGACCCAGCTCTTTCACCCACCGACAGGAGAAGGGGGGAATTGAAGAAGGAAAGCGAGTCTCTTCTCCCTCAAAGACACATCAGATGGACCAGGAAGTATAAAAGAACGGCTTTCCTTCACAGAATTTGAAGGAGAAAGAGACGTAGAGCAGACCGCTTTCGGAAAGAAAGAGTCAACTTCTCTCTCCCCCCGCCCCGCATGAAGCTTAGAGAGAGTGTGGAATAATCCAAGAGGAAAGATTATGCTTTGAATTTGGTCAGTCTTATAGTTATAAACATCTAATGCAGATTGAGGTCTCTTCCCTTCGAAGGTGCTCAATTGCTTTGCTTCACCGGTTGGTTCGGCCTTTTGGTCCTTTATTTTTTCCCCCTTCTCTTTTCCTCCCTTTTTCTTCCTCACTGTTTGCTTTATTAGGTTTTGTTTTTTTTTTTTGGTGAACTTTAGTTTAGTTTAATTTAATTTAATGAGTAAATTACGAAATCAACTTGCCGTACTCTTCTCCTAGTTAAATAGAAATTTAGGTCTTCCCACGAAAACATTGATTTTGATTCTTCTAACAATAATGAACAATTTTTTTTCCATCAAACTATTAGTTTAATTTTATAAAAAAAATTGCTAATAATTGCAGCCTAGATGTAATGTTTCGTATTAAAATGAGGGCTGCGAGACGCACTGGTGAATAGTTTAGTTGATCGTCCATGCATGCGGAGAAATCATATATTTCAAGCATAAATCATTAACATTTCCCTGTATAAAATTCATGCTAGTTATTGATAGCATGCTAATTAAAAAAAAAAAAGATATTTCAAGCATAAATCATTAACATTTCCCTATATAAAATTCATGCTAGTTATTGATAGCATACTAATTAAAAAAAAAAAAAGGACATGAAAAGTATGATTCACTGTCAAAACACAAAACCTGGCAAGACCCACGCTTATTTATTATTTATTAATTATTATAATCCACAACAATATGCAAATAGGTAGCAGCGTACGGGCGGCCCAACTACCCCGGAGTCAGCCAGCCATTAGTGTTGAATTGAATTGAATATCAGCCACGCGGCTCTTACGCAACAATATATGAATAGTGGTAAGGAAATGCAGAACTTGCACGCGATCTAGGCGCACTTGATTAACTTCACTGTGTTGTAGTGTAAGTAACAGTGCAAGATAGGTCCCTCTTGCTCATAGCTCTTCCCCTTGTCCGGTAAACGAGTCTCCAAGAAAGGAACGAAATTAAAAGGACTCCGTTTTTTTATTGGACGATACAATTAACTGACATTGCGCTCTTTTTTTGTCTAATCAAAATTTGTTTCTTGGCCTATTTCCTTGGGTTCCATTGGATTTCAGAGCTCCTCCTTTAGCCACGGCCCGGTGGCCCAACAACAACTGCACTCTAGGCTTTAATTGTTTTTGTTTTTGGTACATCATTCTAGGCTGATTGTTTTAAGTTTTGAGCCGTTCACCCTGCTACTGGGCCCAAAATAACAAACATAAACAACACAAAACCCTGTCCTTTGCGATCTTTCTTCCTTTCCAGTCAATTTTTCCCTGTTCAACTTTACTGTTATTTAATATTCTGTAGGTAAAAAAAATAATGTCTAAAAATAAAATAGAAAAATTTGCCCATTTTATTTTCTCTCTGATATATTTCTCATTTTAAAAAAATATTTTTTCGTATATCAAATATGTAGTTTTGATCCACGTCGTTTTTCAGCATACACAAATTAAAGGTCAGTTTTTTTCCCCCTCTTTCGGGTGCTACAAATGACATCATTAGTTGCTGATCCACTCGCTGGTTTTGCTCAGTTTTTCTTTCAGACGCATATCCATTTCATCCAGTGTGCGTGTGCGTGAAAATAGAAATCGTACAAGAAACAAAGAAACACCGTAAACAATGAAATCCGCTGTAAACTAGCGACTTGAGATATCAATATGATTTGATGATATATATTACCTTAAATCGCTTCTCTTTTTTTAAAAAAAAAAAGTCAAAGAAAATAATAAATCAAGAAGAGGGAGATGAGAGAAAAGGTGGGGGTGAAAGCAGCTTCGAGATCTACTGAAATGTTGTTTCTGTCCCTACAACGTACACCAGCAGCAACAGAGTCATTTCAAAATGATCCGAGCATCTACATGTCTTCCCTCGTCCGTCGAGCTCTCTCGACCATCACATATAGGAAGATTCATCGTACGTGAGCTCAGATTGCGTTAGCTGGCTCTTGCCTGCCCCGTATTTCTTTTTACGGTTACCCCCTCCACAAGTAATCGAAAACTCACACCCCATCGCCGTCCCAAAACACGAAAACAGCCCATTCCTGTTTCTCGCTTTAGTATTTCGCTTCGACGATTGCTTCAGCTTCCGGTACTCCATGTGATCGTACACCGGCGGAAGTTCCGTCTTCCATCTCTCGATCTTCGTCTTCATCCCTTCCGTATTGTTCTTTTCCGACCACTCGTCCAATCCCGAGCTTTGCGTAACCGTTAATGGCACCGGATACAATCCCTTCGCAATTGCGGCAGCAACAACCGACGGGGAAGGCCCCACGTCCGAGCAAAGAGACCCGTTCGCGTTCACGATCACTCCTCTGGGCGGCTGCACCCCAATTTCGGATCCTTCATTATACCCGGAACCTTGTTTCTTATGAGCAGGAGTCGGATGATAGACGTAATCATTGATGGTGGAGTCGTTCTTTTCGCTCTGGGAACGCTGGAGCGTCAAGAGCTTTGGTTTGACGGGGTCGAGAAGGTCCTTCTGGGGTGTTTTCTGGACGGGGTTGAAATCATAATCCCCGACGGCGGACGCGCTGAGTTCCGAATACAAAGGCATGCTCCGCTTGGTGCTATCGACGAGGTTGACCCCTATATTCAGGATCCCCCTGGGTCGACCCGAGGGCCGGCGAATCTGCAGGGCGACGAATTGCAACTTGGATTTGCGATTGCCGGAGCGAGAGGAAGGAGGGAGGAGGTTGCGGAGGAGAACGCCGACGGTGCCGATGAGAATGTCGCGGAGCCAGGCGGAGGCGTAGATGTCGATAATGATGGTGGAATTGTCGTCGTGGAGGAAATGTTGGTCGACGCGGAAGACGAACTTCTCGTTCCAGGTGGGGCTGGTGTCGCCGTCGTGATCGATCTGGGTGGTGAGCTTGCGGTGAGGGGGGAGGGAAAGGACGGCATAGGCCTTGGTGGGCTTCGAAAGAGGGGCGAGATCCTGGGCAGAAATAAGATTGATCTCCAGCAGCTGAAACGGGGCGGAGGTGGCGGAGAGCAGCGACATGTTGGATCGGGTGGACTGCGGGTGGTGGCGGAAGAACTAGAAGGTGAGAGCCTCTAGGCCGCCGGACCCACGAGATTCCAGACCCCCGACCTGTGCAGCGATAGATCCTTCGGATTATCAATCTGTCGATGAAGGTGCAGTCCCGGCGCATCGGGGAAACTTATTCCTCGAAACAGGACACGTGTGTGCTTTATTATTTGTGCTTAACGTACGGCTTCTTGCCTCGTTGCGCTGTCACGCTCCGTCTCCATCCCCGTGCATTTTTAGCACCAATTTTATCCCTTCCCACACTCTATCTCTCCATTCTCTCATCTAATGAACGCCCCTTCCACCATTATTGCCATTTCACAAATGTTAGTTGTTGTATCATGTCATATTGAATCGTCTCACCCTGCCACTGCCACTTCGCATGCACGCATCTTTCCCAATTTCTGTTGGTTCATCTCTTGGCGCCCTCACTTGCTGTTATATGTCGCAGAGCTTGAATTTGACTGGGTCAATCATATAGCTAGGTTTTCTCGTTTATATATTATTATATACACATACAGTCATAGATATTGGTCAAAATAGTTCTAAGGATCGGATTGCCAATCCTCCTAATTTTCGCTTATTAATTGTGTTTTAATTTATTTTCTGGGTTACTTTGCTTCCTTTTCTCCTGCAACAAGCACCTACCTGCACCCCACCCATCTTTGCATTGCTAATTATATTATTAGTTAATCAGGATATATAATAGTGCAATATAATTATCTTTCTACAGGATATATATGACAACAAAAGTACTTCAAAAATTAATTTATACAACAACTTCAGTCAATTAATTTATCGGGTTTCATCCGTTGCGTTTGTTCGCTTGTGTTGAAAACGAAGAAGGAAGGATGATATAGTTTGACAAGATTGCATGCTGTGTGTTTGGTAATTCCTCGGGTAGACACAACTAGGATTGAAAACCAACCAGAAACCCTGCTCTCAGCATGTCACCCGCCTCCTCGTCCTGATAGCTTTTCTCGTTGTGTCTTTCATCTGCCCAGCCTGTGCTGTTGCCGATGATGAGAGCTCATTTGTATACAAAATTCGTGCGTCGCAAACCGGCCTGGAGCGGCGCCCCATCTGAATGTTTCTACCCCAAACAGTGGCTTCCCTCTCAGTGCAGGGAGGGTATGAGCAGAGAAGAGTGTGGTGGGAAACCTGGCCTGTGCCGCCATTCGGCACGCCTTTTCTTATAAAATGTTGCACCGACGCATTGCTTCTTATCTTCAAAAATAGCGTGCATGGTTTTAGTGTCTTCCAGCTGAAAAATAAGTTGTATCATTCACGCTTCATGAACACGTGTTTGATTTAACATAGCATTGAATAAACTTCTTAGCATATATAATTCGCTTCTCTTATCTTCAAGATAATGATGGTTTAGTCAGTGACAGATCTGGGAGCCAGGAGGGGTTCTTGCGCCCCATACATTATACGGCTTTTGGTAAAGAAAAAAAAAACTATCTTTTTTAGTTGTAAAATAGATCCCCCCCCCCCCCAAAAGCTGTAAGCCTGTAACACATTTAGGGGGCGTGGCCATGCGTGGGTTTAATAATATTGTCCTTCCTCGGATCCCAATATTCAAAACGTGACTATTATTATTAGACGAATTGGATGGCATGGGCCCATCATACTCACTCCACGATCTATTTAAAATAGCGATTGTTACTATAATTTTTTTATATATGGCTATATGATATTTACTACTATTAGACTTGATGATACCTGACATTGGACAATTAAATATATACATATATATATATATATATATAATATTATGTAAAAGTAGACCTATTGTAATTTTTGTTTTCGCCTTCATGCCCTTATTAATAAAATACATATTTTTCCACGCGGTCGTGCCCTTATGAAGTGCCGATTATTTTGAACATCGAATATATGGGAGGTAATTAAATAACTATTTTTTAAAATATTTGTGTACTTAAATGAAATTATTTTAAAGAGGAACGAGTAGCAAGGATTTAGAAATTCTATAAAATGAAATAAATTTTAAAATTCACGAAAAGGGCTTAATTACATTATGAGTTTCTCCTGTTAATAGATAGATCCTTCGAGTATATATAGCTGATAATCAAATTCCTAACCTCTACCATCCTCACAAACTTAATGGCTTGCTTGGATGGAAGGGAGAGGTTATAGTTAAAAAATAAGAAAAAATATTTCCATCTTTTTTGTTAAAACAAAATGGTATATTTAACTCTCTACCTTAAATTGGGAGACATTAAAATTCCTCAACTCCCCTCCCCTCTGTCAAATTCATTGAACGAAATGTTATGCGAGCATGCACATTTGAAAGCGTATCATTCTCCAGTGACAAATGAAGTCTGTTTCTTTATAGAATGATGGAATAATGGGAAAGTGTATGAGACTTATATTTCTATGCACTAATACTTATCTATTTTTTAAAAAATATTTTAATTTTTATATAATTTAAAAATTATATTTAGTCAAGGTAACTCCCAATCCTTCATGGAAAATTGGAAATTCAAAATAAAAATAAAATCTAAATTGGGCTTCTCCAGTTGTGAGACTACAAAATGGCCCTAATGAAGATCCAAGTTTGCATCCGCAAATAAAAAAATGATAAAAATAGTAGCAAGTACCGACCAATAAATATTCGACATACATGTCACTGGGTACGCAAAAATTGGATACGGCTAATTAATGTCGTTGATAACAGTAACAAGCACACACATTTGTGACGATCAGCATTTTGGCTCCAAAGTCACATAACTTCTCACATGGAGAAGTACTTGATTATTAACCTGTCCCGAAGTTCAAAGGAAGGTTTAAATTTCTAATTTTTCATACCTCATGTTAATTAGTCCTTCACTGTTCTTGTTTGGATCTTTTAGATAAATGCTTCCTTCTTTAAAAGTTTATCCTCAATAAAGAAGGAGCTTCGTCTTTTCTATTCTCATTTTCGTTGGTTGACCACTCTATATGATCGTATGTAAACCTCTTTTTGTTCTTTTCATTTATTTGAAAGGTGCCCCACGTGAAGGTTATAGCATTTACAGTAGCTCGTCTGGCCGTGCTTTTGTTATCATAGTGAAAACGACGGAGCATAAAACTACTGAAGTTATTTTGATCATCGGAGGATGTAATCGACCAAAGAGAGAAAGTACAGGTATTTGATTCAGAATGAAAATGGAGAGATAATGTTAATAATTGGAAATGCTTATGGTTTAAACACTTGATGTGATCATTGAATTTATATACTTAAGCTGAATATATATTATCTTGTAGTAAAATCGCATATTTATTTATTTATTTATTACCATGTTATACAAAGAAAGTTCTTTTGTTTTGTTGATTATTAGGCATCACCTTGTTTTCAGTCAAAGTTTCACTCATTTTTTATTCATTTGTTCACTGATTTTCGCTGTTTAACGGTTAGGTTAGTAATGGTTGTCCATATCTTGTGCGAGATCGCGTGCTTTTTATACATTGAACTTTTGGTTAATGATATACTTAAAGGTTTTGTTATTGAAACAGTATAATAACATCATGTAATTCACGCAATCCAACCTCACTTAATGTGATATGGTTTATTATATTAAATGTGTGTGTGATTAGAAATTAGAAATAATTAGGAAAGTACACCCTAAGCTTTTTCCGTTATTATTTGATATGAAATAGAAAGACGTATTGTATTTATTATTTTTAAATACCCAATCATAACATATTGAGCTGTAAAATATATTCAATTATCGTGATCTTTTTAAAGAACTTTAGAGAAAACATGTAAACATTAGAAATTGCATTTTTAACACAGTTAACTTTCTTGGGCTTTCAAGGGAATGCTGTGCAAATAAACTTCCGCTTTAAAAAACATAAGTGGAGTTCTTTTTTATATATAAATAGAGTTGTAAATCAAACTAAGGCCCAAAATGTTATTTTTGGAAATAAAATAAAACATAAGTATGTTGATTGTCTTCTTGCATCATATTTACTAGGCTGATATCTCTTCTCCTATAAAACAGCGCTTCTCCTATAAAGTACTGCTTCCCAATGATGTTTGCTTGGAGTTACTTATCTGTCATGGATCTTTCATGCATAGAAAGCATTATCTATGGGTTTTTGTCTATTTTTGCTTTACTTATTGTATGTTTGCTTCTACTCATTTTTTCCTTTGTCCTTGTAACGTTCAATAATACATTAATTATAGGTAATTTTGAGACATAGGAAATTATCAAGTATTTATTTGGGATTGAAAATTAAAAAAAGTTAAATGATTGACAAAATAATTTTTCAAAATAAGGTAAATTATAAGAATATAATTTCAAGCCAAAAAATATATGAGGGGGGAATGATTAAAAAAAGAGGTTGTGTGTGTGAGAAATATAATATAAATATTTCTCACACACAAAGGAAAAAATGATATAAAAATACCTTCCAAATATTTTAAGAAACTATTTTTATGAAAAAAAATCATTTATCTTTCTAAAAAATTTATTTCGAGTTTTCATGTTGTTTGCTAAAATTATTGAAAATAATCATAATATGAAAAAAATATATTTTTAATTATTTTAAGAATACTTTAAATATAAAAATAATTTGAGCAATAGAGGAGAGAAAATATATTTAAAATGTATGATATAAGAATATATCACAATAATTAAATAACAAATTATTTTTATAAAACAAGATATTATAAAATTTAAATTATCTAAAATAGATATTTTAAAAAAATTTAGACTGTTTAAATTTTACTTATTCCCTTCATTAAAAAATGTAAAATATTTTTTAAAGAGTTGGATGTTAAAAAATATAAAACATTTTTAATCTTTTAAGGTGTAATTATTATATTTTTTTTAAAAGTACTTCTATTGAATAAATTACTTTATATTTATTTTAGGATGAAACACCTTATTAAATAGAATAAAATATAGAAAGATAGAGTTAATTTGAAGACAAATAGCTACTTTAGTAAGAATGAAATTTAATTAAAAATACCTTATATTTTTTAAAGGGGAGTATTTTTTTTTCCTACTCTTAGATAAATGGGTCCATAGCTATTCTAAAACTGTTTTTTTACAAAATGACTATTTTAACCCTGTGCAAATGTTAACATTTAAATTTTTAATAATTTCAATTGGTTTCTTTTAACCTAAAAAAACCCCTTGGTCCATGATACTTCATTGAACTCCCAGCCCAATCGTTCTAAATTCTAATGCCGTCTCCGACCTCCTCCTGTCTTCGTAATCGTTGCTCAAGCATCTCCTTCTGCGACCTCTGCGCTACTCTGAGAAAAAGAAACAGGTAAGTCTCTTTCTCTTTCGTCATCGCGCTGAGATTGTTGATTTCTTTCCCTTCGTACGAAGTCTTGTGCGAAAATATATAGAGGGAAGAACTAATATAGGGGAATAGGGCATATGGGCTTTCATTATGCGGAATAACATGTTTTGGATTAGAAATTAAGTAGGACTGATCGATGAAGGGTAGATATAGAATGACGGAGTTTAGGGTGTTAGACCTTTCTTCTGGTATTGAAACGTTGTGGTTTCTCCTATGGTTGTGTTTGCGTGATTTTAGTCCGTCGTTTTGTAGAAGCTAAATGGTGGTATTGATTATCTTGTAATCAATGGAATCAATTGTCCGGAACCAAAAGTGAAGAATCAATTTCCATTCTCTCTATGATTTTGCTTTATTCTTCATATAATGGAGTCTGGAATGGAGGGATTGCATAAACGCAGAAGCCGCCACTAAATGAGTATGTGTCTCGGATTATGGATGATACTAGTTTTAGAGCGTTTGGTGCTTCTAAGTTTTAGCATGCTTGCGTCAATTTTCACACACGTACACTAATATATTGTTATTATATTTTTCTTTATATTAGGTATTGAATTTTGGGGTAAAATTTCTTAAAGGAGGAGACTCTTAACATTCTAAATTAATTACAAGCAATGTTAAGAGAATTTCGAGATACAGAAAATTGTTAAAATATTTACTAAGGACTATAAATTAAAATAAAATAAATTCTTTAAAAAATTCTCAAAATAGGATAAATTATAAAAATTTAATTTCAAACAAAAAAATAAGAGAGAGGGCGAATGATTGAAATTATATATATATATATATATATATATATAGATGAAATATGAAACTAAATAAATAAATATGCGATATAGATATACGAAAAAGATTAGGTGTGGGCCCACGGGCCACTCCCAAAATTTAATGTAACCTAGGCCCCAAACACAATCATTACACAGCTCCAGCTCCGCGGCGTCGGACGGCAAACAGATAGTGAGCGAGCGAGCGGATTTTAAGTAGGCTCCATAATCAGATTCGGGTGATTCGAGTCTTTGTATTTTAAAATTTTTATTCTATTTATCTTCTTAATTTTTAGATTGTGTAAAATTTAGGATGTGATATACTTTTAATTTTTTGGTCTTTTTGTTGATAGGGAGTTATTCTAATTACATAATTAGATTTATTTTAAAGTTTTAGGAAGTTTAATCTTTATTTTCAGATTCTTTTTAATCTATTATGATATGTATTACTTGTGATTGTGGTTTTGAATAATCGGTCAAATTTTTATAATTTTTGTAGCATTTTTGAATAGTTTAATCTTTTTCTATTGATGTTAATTTTTAAATAAATGTTTATTAGATGAACTTTTTTATAATTATGGTAGCTCTTAAAAATAAGTTTAACTATTTTTTACTATGATTACTGCTTAAATGAAGGGAGAATGATGTTAAAATCCCACACAAGGAATTTTATGAGAGAATTACAGCTAGATCCTACATAAGAGAATTAATTACTGCAAGGTCCATTAATAACTAGACTAAACTACATTGATAACACAAACTATTTTATATTATGATAATTATTTTATAAATTTTTATACTATGATAATTATTTTATGAGTTTAATTTTTTATTGTCATGGTTTTTGATTGTAAGGTTAGGTGGTTGCCATCCTCATTTCCCTTACTTCACACATTGCAATTATGTAATGGTAGTAATTCTAATAGTACCAGATATGATGAACAGTGCAATGAATGCGATTTTTCCCTGTGCCTCTTGACAACCAACCAGCTTAAATGCATATAGTTTCCTTCTATAATATCCAACTTTTTTTATTTAGTTTTTGTTTCTCTTGGTTTCATTGTCATGCATTGTTATTAGGAGGACAATGTAATTATGAATGACATCTTAAAATTCTTTAATGGTATATTTGAATTAATAAGAATTTAGATTTGGATTAAACCTCTTATCTGGATACATAAAAATTTATGAATTTAGATTTGATTTAAATCTAAATCTATTTTAAATTATAATTACTTTGTAACTTTAAATTTTCTTTAAACCCTAATCATTTAAAATTCTAATCACTTTAAGCATCTGGTTCTCTTTGCGTTTTCACTATTGATATATTTCTAACACTTGTATATTTTTTTATCTCTTATCGATTAAAAAATATAAATAAAATTTTTATTTTTAATTTTTCATTTTCACTTTGAATCTTAATTGATCTCTTGTTTTCATTTGAAATTTTTTTAAACTACCCAATTAAAGGATTTTAAATAGATGGATTTCAAATGTGAGATTTGAAATACAAAATTTCAAATTCAAATTCAAATCCATCAAACCAAACACTACCTACAATTTTATGGAGGATCACGCCATCTAGCCTCTTACAATGATCATTCCTTATCTTTCATGTTCTTTCTTTCAAACTCATTCAAAGTGCCTTACAGGAATTTCTACATCTCATAATTTTCATGGCCATTTTTGAATTCTATAATATTTGCTTTTGCTTTCACTCATTTCTTCAAGGGCCCTTTTTTTTTAAAAAAAAGTATAAAATAAATGTATTGAATCTTTCATAGTTGTTGAATTTTTTTAGATGTATACACGAAGAAGAATTAATAACTAGGGCATCTGAACTTTTAAAATATATATATATATATATATATATATAAAGATTTGGTAATCTTAACAAGGGGGAAATGCAGGTACAGCGAAGGGGTATATTTTCGTAACAAACGAGTGGTTCTTGTGTTAGTGTTGAATTAGGGGATAATTACTCATTGAAACTCTTATGGCTTCCCATGCAACTCCCAATTCAAGAGTTATCAAGGCCTTCAATGCTATGAAGGACTTGGGAATTTCTAGTGATGAAGTGAAACCAGTGCTGCAAAAGCTGTTAAGATTGTATGACAAGAACTGGGAATATATTGAAGAAGATAACTATCGAACACTTATAGATGCATACTTTGAGCTTAAGGAAGATAAGGTAACTCTTATAAACATCTTTTGTTTGCTGTACATTTAAATATCTCCTTGTTCATTCAGGTTTTTAAATATTCTATTTGCATGTTATCATTGCTTGTTTTATATTACATCTATTGAGCAAAGCGCAGATAAGAATTGACAATTAAACTAAAAGTTATAATTTAGTGACTATTTTTTTATTGCAATGAATCTTTAACTATACTTTTATGTGCATACTTTGTAGTTTATCTCTTATTCTCTTGTTTTAAAATAGGAAGCGGAAGGTAAGAGAAAAGCTCTCACTAGTGATCATGGTGGAGAAAAACAAATGCAACCATTGGCAAATAAAGATGACGTGCTTTTGTTAACTACGGACAACTCAAGACAAAAATTATCCACAAAAGATAATGAAATGCCTTTAAATACTTTTGGACAAGAAATTGTTGAAACATCTCAACCTTCGATGAGCAATACGAGACCTAAAATCATTCCTCAATTATTGAGAACAAGAATTAATGAGGTAGAAAGGATATCAAAGTTTCCTAGCATGTCTGTTACAAATAGAAGATCAAATTCAGAGAAAACATCTTCTACAAGGCATGGCGAAGGACTTGTTGATGAGCCAAGCTTTACTCTTATTCGAAGAGAAAATCTACCAAATGAACATAATAGGGGAGAGATAATGAAGCAAAAAACCAAACACAATAAGTTACATCTTGAATCCAGTTCAACAAGTTACAAAGGTAATGTTGCTTCTCTTCCTAATCAGGAATTTGTACTTAGGTTCTTTCATTATTTTCATATCATAAACTGTGGAATCTTAATCTGAATCTATTTGAATTAATCATCAATTGTCACCATTCTTTTAACATTTCCTTTACATCAAAGGGAGAAGGGTTGAAGAAATATTCTCAAAGTAGTTGGTTTGTCATATCTATGTTTCCTATTTTTATAGCAAAAGAAAATGTCTAGCTAAAATGGGCTTTTGAAGACAATCCCATTCCTACATATGCGGACTTAATCCAACTCTAATATCTTGTAATTACCTGATCTTTCTAACAAGTTGATACTATGCTAGCAAAATTAATACTATCATCTATGTTATTCACTAATTCATTAGTTAGTAAGACTGTATTCAAAACAATTTTGGATTAATCTTTTAGGAAAATAAAATGTGCAATTTGACTTGAGCAAAATCATTCTTCTGTGTCATTTTTTTTTTAAAAATACAAGCCTCTAAAGTTTAATCATAATGCATATATACGATTGGTTTAGTTAAGAAAATATTAGCATCTTTTTAGTTAATTTCTTTTTATACAGTCCATATCACTAAAATGATATAATTTTTTTTGTTGATTTTTCCTAGGTTCTTATGAGGTTTTGACTAGAAATCATCCTGTCAAGTTGGTGTCTTCTTTGTATATGGATCTAAACAGTGCCATTGATGATTCTGCACACAATAACAACCCTGCAAGTAGTAAGACTAATATTGAAATTGCCTCTTCAACTTTGGGAGAAGTGAAAATTTCTTTAAACTGTGACCACGCACTTGAACAACCAAATTTCTATATTCCAAACTTAAGTACTGTGATGAAGTTCATGGAAGAGAAGTACCTTCAACCTACAAATATTGTTGGACCCCAAATTTCTATGGTGAATTTATTAAATAGTTTGTGTGAGAATTTTCTTAAATTAGGAATGCATGTGAATCAAAAGCATTCACATCCTGAGTTTAACAATGCAAATATATTAACAAATGGGCCACAACAAGCTATTGCTCAAGATGAGAAAAAGCTATTTCATTTTCTTAGTGACATAACAAAAGGCTCAGAAAAGGTGAAGATATCATTGATAGATGAGTATGGTAATGGGGAATTTCCAAATTTTAATTACACACCAAATAATATAATATATCAGAGTGCTAATGTAAATATTTCGCTGGCTCGTATTGCGGATGAAGGTTGTTGCTCAAGTTGCTTGGGAAACTGTCTTTCCCAATCATTACCTTGTGCATGTGCTCAAGAAACTGGTGGAGAGTTTGCTTACACGCTTCAGGGGTTATTAAAAGATGAATTTTTAATATCTTGCATATCTATGAAAAAAGAACCTCAAGCTCATCAATTGGTATATTGTCAAGAGTGTCCACTAGAGAGGTCTAAGAATGAATACATGCCTGAGCAATGTAAGGGACATCTAATCAGGAAATTCATTAAAGAATGTTGGAAGAAGTGTGGATGTGACATGCAATGCGGAAATCGTATAGTGCAACGAGGTTTAAGATGTAAATTGCAGGCAAGTTGCTCTTTAATTTTCTTACATGCTTTTAGTGGCAATTTGGTTTACCTAGTTGGTTTGTTATTAATCTACCATGGTGGCAAGTATACAGAATTGTGACATTTATAAATAAAATATATGCTTAAGGAAGTCTTATTAGACAAGTTAAAATGGAAGTCTTGATTTTTAATTTTATTAATGTTATATAATTTTTTGAAGTTTAGTCTTGTTTTATCTCTTTAAAGGCATCTCACAGGGGTTTGAATTAACTTATTTAGTATTGTGGTTTATCATAGGTACTCACAATCAATTTTGTTATCTAGTTATAAGTGTGATAGTTTTTGTTCAAAAGAAATTATGTTTAAATTGCATTGTTATATGTATTTTTAATAATATCCTATGTTCATATGGTTATGGTATTTTAGTTTATTATAATGGTCACATTGTTGTCTTTAAATTCTCAGGTGTTCTTTACTAGTGAAAAAAAGGGTTGGGGCCTTAGAACACTGGAAGATTTGCCTAAAGGATCCTTTATATGTGAATATGCTGGAGAAATATTAACTAACATGGAGTTGTATGAAAGAATTGTGCACAAAAATGGAAATGACAGGCATACATATCCCGTAACACTTGATGCAGATTGGGGCTCAGAAGGGGCATTAAAAGATGAGGAGGCATTGTGTCTAGATGCCACATATAATGGAAATGTTGCTAGGTTTATCAATCATAGGTAATGTTTTTATGCCTAAACATTTACGTTTGGAAAACAATAATATTTTCTCTAACTTCTAGATGGAATAGCTTATTTGTCAAACCACACAGCTTCATTGGTGAATATCATGGTGTAAAACCTTGCGTATTTTAATATCGGTGAAAGTGGCAAGGATTGGAATGTGTTTTCAAAATTTTTTAGTAATCGACACAATCCTGTCATTGTTGTTTTTAATTTGTTGTAGTCCATGAACAAGTGTAGCTTTCTTTTTTATGCTCCCTCCCCCTTCTCTTTCTCTTTTCATCTAAATCTTCTAATACGATGTGTGCTTTTTACTTTCAGATGCTCAGATGCAACTCTAATAGACATTCCTGTTGAAGTAGAGACTCCTGATCGTCATTATTACCATGTAGATATTTGATTTTATTTTCACATTTTACCATTATGTTATGTATGAGCCTATAAGGGGATATTCTTTTAGATATTTGATGTTTGATTTACAAAATTTGGTGGGGGAAGAAGGAAATTATCTTTTAGAGATATTGAGAGATGATTTCCTGTTGTTGCTTGCAGCTTGCCTTCTTTACTAACAGGAAAGTGAATGCTTATGAGGAGTTGACATGGGTGGGTTGGCATGAGCCTGAATCAATATAACTTTATATTTGCATCTTTTCCAAATAGTTTTTTATTTGTATGCATGTTATCTTATTTCAAATTTCTTTGAGGTTGTCCATTTTCGCAGTAATAACAAAGGTGTAAAATTACTTGCAGGATTATGGTATTGACTTTGATGATCATGATCATCCTATCAAAGCATTCCAATGTTGCTGTGGAAGCCCATTCTGTCGTGACAAGAAGCGGAAAGGTCAGTTAAATAATTATAGTTAGTGGAGTCTATTTTTCACAATCTCAATTCATGGCTTGATAGTGTGTCATGAGATAATGTCATGGCAACAAAATTTGATTAAGAATAAGATGGAATTCTGCTTTTGATTGTTTCCTAAGTTTCCTCATAGCTATGGTGGAATTTTTAGGGAAGCGAAAATTAGCGAAATGTCTATGAAGCGAGAGGACCTTCTAAACTGATGAAAGTTGGGAAGCCATTGGAGCTAATGTTGGACTCAAACAATGTTCCTCAGGTACTGACGCTACTTGCTTATTTGGTACTCAAATTGTTTTTCCCTTGTTTTTACTTCTATTCTTGTTAGAGTCAAAGCCTTCTTAGTTCGTTCCTTTTGTTGCATGCAAGAGGATTCAAATTTTTTGAAGCCAAAAATTCCTAACGTTTCATAATATTTTGTTGTCATAGAATTGCTTGGAAAAAGCCATCTCCAGTCTAGATTTAATAATACTCAAATATGATATGATAGTATCAAATATCACATAATTGTATTAAAAACAAAATAAACACTAATAATTGAAAAAGTGAGAATTAAGCCGTGTGATTTTGAAAAACATAAACACTAATATGATAAGTCATGGGTATCATTTATATTTTGTCTCACATTTTTCTTTATTATTTTGAAGTGCTTGCTCAATCACCACTAAGATTTGAGAAGAAGAATAGATCATTGAATTGGATAAGGTATTGGTTCAAGGATCAATGATCTCATCATGATTTAATATATTTTTAATTTTAGATGTTAAATTTCACATTAAAAATAAAATGTTATATAATATTATAAGGTTCATTAAACAAATAAAATTGAAAAGCAAGAGAGCAGAGATTGGTTTCTTTTAGTTTAGTAAAGAAACTCATAGCCCAAAATTATTGTAAACTTGTTTTAGGAGCACACATTCATCGTATATAAAAAAAATTAACAAAGCATGAGGCTCTTTTAGGAGGCTTATTTAGACTAAATTAAAAAATATGAAGTTTTTAAAAATAAAAATACAATGTTTTTAAAAAATGATATAAATAAAAAATTTCAACTATAAAGATTAAATATATATATATATATATATATGATTTATATTAAAAAAACGTTGGCAAAAAAAGATTATATTAAAAAAATGCAAGATTTCACCAAAATAATTTAAGGAAGTTGAAAAAACTACTTCATTTATTTGAAAGCGTTGAGAGGAGGCTGTCATATATAAAAAAGTTAATGAACATTATGAATTTTACATTATTATATAAATAATATTTTAGATTTTAAATTTTTAAAATGTGTAAAAATTCTTTTTAATTTATAAATTTCGAACATATGAAATCTCGTCGTTAAATTTAATAAAATGATCATTATTTTTAAAGATTAAAATAAATGTCACATAAGCTTGTGACTGAATCCTATAACTTTAAAAGTAATGATCATTTTTTTTTAATTTAATTGTGAGGTTTCTAATGTTTACAATTTAAAAATTAAAATAAATTGTTATACATTTTAAAAGTTTAAAATTAAAAATATTATTTACATAATAGTTTAAAGTTTAAGTTATTTATTAATCTTATATAAAAAATAAAAATATAAATTTAATCAAAAATTATGTTTAAAAAAATATTTATAAAATAATGTAAAATAAATTATAAATTATTTAAAAGAGGGCTAGCACCTATCATAAATCTAACCAAGCGGACATAAATTTCCTCGTGGGACACTCGAACTTCACTGTACCTTCTCTCTCTCTCTACATCTCATCTTCTCTCCCTCTCTCATCTTCTCCAGATCTCATCTTTCGGTTGAAGTTTCCACTTTTTCCCATAGATCAGGCGCGGGTGGGACCCCTGTTTGGCGATGTAGATATCGGGAAGTTTGGACCCAAAGATGAATACCTTCTTGGGTTTGGAGGTCTCTGTGGTAGCCATGGGAATAATTGAACCAACCATTTTTGCAGAATCTGCTCTCTCTTCATTCTGTAGAGCCATCTCTGTTACAAGGTTTGTAAACAAAGACATAAATACACAATTTGAGCTACAAACTTGAAAAACAATGCAAGCTTTCACCAAAATAATTTAACAAACTTGAAAAAACCACATTGTTTATTTGAAAGCGCTGAGTGGAGGCCGTCATATATCTCCCTGAGCTGGTGAACCTCAATCAAGACGGTGGGCCCTCATGCAAGGGATTGGGTTGATTTTAAAGCAATTTACACCTGTTAACCCCGAGTCCCAAACAAATCCCAATCTTTCGTATATGTGTCTTTTTTTTTTTTTTTAAGTATTTTCATTGCATTTTTTATTTTTTATTTCAATTCGGCCGGTTCAGTTTTGGCTCGTTTCTTCAATTGTTGACCGATTTTCTTGGTGTCTAGTTTCTGGGTTATATTGGATTGGCCAGTAGAATTTGGTCTATTGTTTAAAATTTTGATCACTACGTCTTTCTTAGACTTGGAAAATGAAGGAGTGAGAGGATTGAGAAATAAGGAACTGATTGGCATCACTTCTGTAGAATTTATATGCGTAAAACAACGACCAATCACTCTCTTCCTTACAAGTGATTTGGATTAACTCACCCTTACACACTAATACAACATTGTCATTATTTTTTGCAGCAGGGAAAACCTTGTGTGATATAAAATTCAGGTGACTAGTTGCAAGAAGGTGCAGCTTATCTCTATTATGGTCAAATTTGTCAGTATCTATCCGCACTGGTTTGGCAATTTATGAGTTTTTTGAACTGTTCGTTATTCTTTTTATTCCTGTAAAATTGTATAGCAAACTCACATCACATATTTTCAAGACATTTATTAGAGACATGGATAATTGATTCATGTTGTATGATCTAACTTGTTATAATAAAATTCTTGGTAGCAGAGGACTGAACTAAAGAATGAAGTTTCACGAACTACTTAAATGCCTCGTTCACACAGGCAAACAAGCATAAACCAAGGCTCTTTTCTGGTTGAGGGGGGAAAAAAAACATAATTGTCTAGATGAAAAACGTGTGTGTGTACTTCCTCATTTTTATTTGTTAGATAAATTGTCCCTTTTGATTTGTTTTTTGTTTATAAACAAAATTACATATCTCAATAAGTATTTGTTACAAATTTTTTAAATTATCTCTCATAATTTATATTAATGAGAAACAATTAATATATATTTATATTGATTAATACAGAATATTTCAGTTCAATTTTTTTATTTTTAAACAAAATTAGCATAATTAATTAATTTTCTTAAATTGTGTAATATAGTTTTTTTCTTGTATATAAATATTCTTTCCCTTAAAATATATAAAACATATCTTGAGTAGTTAAATATTAAAAAATATAAAATATTTTTATTGTTTTCAGGTGTAATTAATGTGCATTTTTTTAAAAGTGTCTATGGTAAATAAATTACTTTATTTTTATTTTAAAGTGAAATATTTCTATTAGATATGGGTAAATATAAAAAGATAGTATTGATTTAAAAATAAGTAATTACTTTATTAGAAGATTGGGTGATAAGATTGAGTTAAAATATTTTTGTTCTTTTTTTCCAAAAATATCAAATAACATTTTTTTATAAATTTCAAAGTGTTTTTGATTTAAAAAGTTAATCTCATATATATATATATATATAATAGATCAAACTATAAGAGTTTAATTAAAATAAAATAAATTATAGAAATATAATTTAAAGTTAAAAAGAATTCTAAGGACCCACCCCCTCCATTTTTTATTGTTAGAGAAACTATCACTTTTAACTTATATTTTTTTATAGGCAAAATTACCCATTTTAATAAAAATTTATTTTATATTTTCTAAGTCACCCATCCTAATGTACATTAACAAGAAACAATTAATGCATGCTTGTGTTGATTAATATTGAGTATCTTAATTTAATTTTTTTATTTTTAAATATAATTATTATAGTTAATCAATTTTCTTAAATTATGTGATATAAATTTTTTTTCGTATATAAAAAAATGGAGGAAGTATGAATCAACTTTCCCATTTTTTTGTGTAAACTATAAGTAATTAATTATTTCCTTTGCATTCATTCAATTTCTAAATCTTAACAAGCACAGAGGTCAAATGCAGTAAAAAAAATTTATATAACTTTTCCATTATATATTACCCACCTTGGGTTAATTTCAATGTAGTTAAAAAATTAATTATTAAATCAGTTGAAGTACTAATTCATAATTCAATTATCATATTACTATTGAACCATGATAAGATTAATATGTCCTAAATATATGCTAACTTCTTTAAATAAGAACGACAAAAAATAACAACAAAAGTATATATAATTGATTCCAAATAAATATTATAATAAATAACAAAAAACATAAAGTGAGTAGAGATAAAAAAGTAAAAATATATTTTAAAATTTTAATAAATATTTTTATAATTTTAAAAATGAAATAATTATCTAGGACGTAAAATTTCTACGATAGTATATATACTCATTTTTCAACTTCTAATTTTATAATATGTATGCGAATTTTTTACACCTTCTCATTTATCTTTTTTTTTTTCATGATGCTTATAATGCAAAACAATGTATAAAATAAAGTTTGGAAACATTTTTCTTTTAAAAAAAAATTACAATATCCTATCGATACAACTACGACCCATTTGAACTGGTTGCTCATTGGCCATCGACCATCAATCCATTAATTTTCTGGTCGAATCAACCAGTGCAGTTTTATCGTCCTTTCGTCAATTCAAAATCAATACGTCCCTACTTGTGTCGGTTCATTAGCATTTATATGATTTATTTTGTCGAAATTTAACTAACTACCTCCTGCGCGGCAAAAAAAGCAGAATTTTTTTTCCCCTTCTTTTTATGCGATGTTATGAATCACAATTTATTTAACAATAACTAACTATGCAAGTAATGGTCTAAAACTTAAATCATTGCAGCGAGGCCATCCAGCCATGGTCCTTGCTTTAGGGGCTGAAGCAAGCCAGTGAGATAGTTGGCTAGATTTGGAATAATAACCAAGTTGCTGGTCTCCGAGCCACAATATTCACATCCGTGAAAATAACAACACTATGGTGATGTCAAAGCGTCTTTGCGGCGGCGGCTCCCTTGTGCATGCGAGCGCAATACTCGAATAAGCTGCCATCAAAACAGCGCCTCACGGCTTCTTTTGATAAGAACCCTTCTCCATCTCTGGCCAAAACATACAGAGCTCCCCACTCCAATTTACTCATTGCCCTGCAATACACATCCCAACTACTTTAAATTCCCCAGGCCAGATACAAAATCGTACTTGCAGAGATGGGACCCACCAGCCAAAGAAGTCATATGCAACACTGTTGGCCTGGGTCATGTGCCAGATCTCCCTCAGCGTCAATTTATCAGGCACCTTGCGTGCATACTTGCTGAACATGATCTCCAAATTTGCCGGGATGAACCTGCACTATTTTTTATGTTGCTAGACTCGAAATAGCAAGCCCATGTCATTCTCTAGTTCTTACTTCTTACCTTCCCTCGGTGTCATAACTCCCCGTGTCGCCTCCGTGTTTCCCCCTGTGTATGTTTCGCATGTAAATTGGGAAGAAAGGCGAAGGTAGCCATGTCTATGACAAAGCATGCTCAATTGAGGTTACATTATATAAACAATAATAACTGAATTGAAAATACATCATCACAGACTAAGATTCATGTGAAAACACTGATTCTCACCGGAAGAGTAGGATAACTCATAGCTGCGTGTATGAAAAACGTTAATAACAGGGAAGAAATCACATTAAACCCAACCGAGCCAAGTGCTGCACAAGGATGGAAAACCGTAATCAAATTCAAGGGACATCCGAATTTGCGATAAACAAGCATCGCAGAGACAGAAATCAAATCAATTAACCAATTCGATCGTCGGGCTGGATGAGGAGGACGAGAAGGTGATGCCTGCGTGATTACCTCGGAACGTCTCCCAGGGGTAGATGATGCCATCGTTGTCGAGGTCGAAGAAGGCGACGTGCTGCTGAAGCACGGACATGTTATTATGCCTGTGGCCCCAGGTGCCATTGACGTTCTCAGAATCAGGAGCAACCAAGGCCCGAGGCAAATCTGGAAGTACAGAGAGAAGCCAGCAGTAAATGGTTCAAAATCATCAAAATTTGTCGAGTCTGAAACCGAAATTGAAAGAGAAGAAGATTACAGGGTTTGGGGAGATGGATGTCTAAGAAGTCGACGCGGACATTCCTCTCAGCAGTGATCGGAGCTTTGTCGGCCACCGTTGCCAAGGATTCGCAGGCTGATTCTCCTGCAGCCATCAGTCTCTGTTGGATCAAGCAACTGGTTTCGCTTCGAGTCGGTGTATTGGAGATCCTTGATTATAGGGAACAAGGCACACACAGTAACGGTTTCCGAATGACTCGCCTACTCGGTCGATGAGCAATTGGGCACAGCCCATGCTCCAATGTCAACTGTCCCCATCCAAGCAGCTAGCTCGTTCCATCCTAAGATTTAGGCCCAAAACTCCATGGTCCATAGTGTATTGTTTGGTTTTAATTTAAGATCAATATTTTTAAGAATGCAACGACTGAAAAGATTAACAGTAATAATTTAATTAAGTTAAATTAAATTGATGATATAATAATTAAATTAAAAAAATATATATAATAATAATTTAAATATAATAAATAAATATAAAATTATTACTTAATTTAAAAATAAAACCAAACATTTTAATTTTATTATGATTTAATAAGCCAAATGATACAACATAATATTAAATGATTAAAAAAATTTAAAAAAAATAAAAAGAAAAAGAAAAAGGGCATTTTTTAAACAGTCCAACTTTTGAAAATCAAATTCAGTTTTGGGCTTGATCTCGATTCTCAATTCGACCATCGATCTAAAGCAAGCCAATCTAGCTCAACTCCCAATGGTTTCTTCAACTCAACCGAGCCATTAGCGTGACCTATTTGATTGTTCAATTCAGTCTGATTTTTTAATTATTGTTTAAGATGCACTTCATCACTTACATAAATACTCCCTTTGTTCTTATATATAAAGTGCTTTTAACTGAATCTGGCATACTAATAAAAGTTTCTTATTTAATTAAACTCACATAAAAATACAATAATTTTTTAGTTTTATCCCTAATAATATCATGATAGTTGTAGGAAAAATATATAATTAATTATCCATCTCATTTTTTAAAATAAGGATAAAATTATCTAATTACTTAAAAATATCATTGTCACTCTTTACATTTAAAAATAAAATAAACTTTTAGAAAATACTTTATATATAAGGACAGAGGCAGTGTCTTATATCTCCTTGCTTTTGCGTGATTGGCAAGTAAGGATTGAAATTCAAGAGAATGACAAAAAGGTTCGAAAAAGATCAATTAATTTAAGTTAGGTCCCGAGTGTCAAACTTTATAAATTTATAACTCAATCTCTTAATTTTATAATTGTGTATTGATGAATTTATAACTTATTTTTTAAATTTTAATATGGTTGAAAAATAAAAAATTTATTAAAATTTAAAATATAAGTTATAAATTTATCACAATAAATGTGTAAAATTAAAAAATTAAGGTACAAATTTTTAAAATTTAATATTTAAAATCTAACTTAAATTAATTAATTCTTTTGATATCTCCACATCGTCCTCCCTTGAAATTATAAGCAGCAAAACAAAAGCGCAAAAAGACCTGTTAAACTCATCAGATTGAAATTCCTTTCACTGTTGAAGTGTGATAGCCAGATGAAAAGATTCATCGACCCTGTAGGGGTTGAATGGCTCTTGGCAGAACTATTTTTTATTTCTGTTTTCTCATAGTTTCGTACACTTTTTTTTATTGGCTAAGAGTGATTCCAACACACAATTCCAAAAATGCTGCATTAATTGAGATTACTGCTACGTGTGTATTAGGTTTTTAATTTAATTTAGTAAAAACATATTTGGAGATTCAATTAGAGCCTATTTGAATTTCAATTAGATATAATTAATTAATATAATTAATTTTTATTATAATTAATTATATCATAACCCAATCTGTTTGGATATTATTTTTTTAAAATTGATTTTAATAAAATTAAAGATGTTCAGATAATTGAGTGAGAATCAATTTTAACTGTACAAATTACCATAAATAACATTACTTTTTAAAATTAAATTATTGATAAATTTATATAAAATATTATTAAATTTGTTAAAATTTATTTAAGAAGTAAAATATATTATTTAATTATATATTTGATTAATTACAAAAGTTTAAATTATATTAATATTAACAATTTAATTGAGAAATAGGTAGCACGCTAGCAATTAAGCAATATGAATTCATCATTTGGCCCTAAAAATTTTAATCCTTAATAGTTATGAAAATAATTAAAATGAGTATAATGTATAAGAAATAAAAGTAAATTTCATGTATATCATATTTTTTTCAAAATTTTTATATAAAATAATTATAATTATAATGTAATGTTGGAGAAGTCAAACTTAGCAACTAAACACTGTGTTCTAAACTTTGGCACCGACTGTACGTTGATGATGCAGTCAACTCGAAACACATATATTGGATGTGAAGGAATGAGAGGAGTATCTGGCGGAGAGAGATGTCGAGTGTCCATCGGTGTCAGCATCATCCACGGACCATCCCTTCTATTTGTCGATGAGCCCACTTCCAGTCTAGACTCCGCCAGCCCTCACAGCATCATTAAGAAGTCCATGACATCGCTCACAACGGCGGCACCATCATCCTTACCATCCACCTGCCTTCCTCCATAATCTAGCTCCTTCTCGACCACCTCATTATCCTTGACTTGGCCAGAGCTTGCCGTACTTTGGAGATGGTGAACGACGATTGACGATAGGCGGACAACGACTCAGGCGAAGAACAAGCACACACCAGATAGAGCACGTGGGAGAGAGCACACGGAGATTGTTGCCGCTGGCTATAGTCGGAGATGGAGGACGGTGACAACGACGGTAGATGTGATGAGGTTTCGTTTGAGATGGAGAGCACGGGATAGCAAGATAGGGGAGACGAAAAACATAAACTTGAGGTTGATCCAAAAAAGAGAATGAGAATATGAGACAGGGTATTATGGGTAAGTAAAATTTCTAACATATTGTTGTTGTTGTTGTTATAACGGTACAGCTGATTTTAGTAGCTCAATGAGGCAGCTTAGTGAAATAATTAATTTTTCTCTCGATAATCAATAACTACAAAAAATTGGTGTTTGAATAATTTTGTGAAAAAATTAATTTTTTTAACTCAAAAATTGATTATTTGTGGTAATCCAAACACACAGTTATTTGTTTTAGACTTGATAAAAAATATAGTTTAAATGTAATTTAAATGTTCTCTTAAGGAACATCCAACAAATATTACGTGGCTGAAACTTCACGTCCATCCGTTACTTGAAGAAATTGTTAAAAAAATGAGGAATAATGAGATAGCAGGGGGAATAGGCTCGGGGGCGGTTGGTAAAATTTTTTTAATTAAACGCTTTAATTAATGAGAGAAAAACAATAAAAAAAATCTTCAAAATATACAAATAATAAATAAATATCATAAAATTAAAAAATTATTTTTTAATCCTTAAAAACCTCGCTGTCAATTAATTTTATGGTAAAAAAAATATTTACCCTTATCAAATTATCTGAAATTGTGCCGGTGGAACTGTTCATCTATCGCGAAGAATGGCTGCTTTTTTCATGAGGTCGACGGTGAGCGACTCTGATGAATGGAGAGAAACGAACGGCGAGCAGCAGAACTGCACCCAACACGAATGATGCGAACGGTGAGTAGATCGACGAGGCGAGCAGATCAATGGGCACGAACGATGAGAAGAACGACAGCAGTGAGAAAGGAACGGCGATGGTGATGGGCTTCAATGGCAACGGAGAAGATGCAATGCGACAGACTTCGGCAACGATAGTTTCTTTCGATCGGAAGAGGGGTAGAGGAATGTGTTTGAATTTGTTGGTTGGATCTATTGATTTTTTTTGTTGACGCGTGTGGTTGGTTTTGGATTTTTCTGATGATTTTTTGTTGATATGGAAAACAGACGATTTCTCTTTGTACTTGTCTTTCTTATGCTTCTATAATTCTTTTGGCCGTTGCGCCTATTTCGTATTCTACCTCCTTCATCAGTTTGGCACTGCTTGTTACCAAACTAGAAATTAAATTCAGAGATATATATGTTGCAGCTTTTATTTACAATTTAACTATCACCTATTTGGGTTATTACTCATTACCATCTTGCAATCGTGGTGATCGTCGTTGGGAAAGCGAGGTATTGGGGATAGGAGCGTTGGGGGGTTTGGGAGGGGTTGGGTCTGGAATTAATGTTGGCATAAAAATCATATTTTAATAAATAATTATTTATTAATTAATAAATATAGACCCTCCCTCCTCCCTCCCTCCCTTAAATATACTTACATGTTATCACAGATTTATTTAATTTTAAATTAGATGTTTGTAATTTATTTTATTTTAATCAAGCTCTTATAACTTCATTAAGGTAGGAAAGGTTGGGACTCAATCTCTAGAAAAGTTTCAAAAGATCTATTTGATGGGTTGAGAAATAACCCATGTACTGCAATGGAAAAGTTGCACGTGGGCTTGTGAGGGGACACATGCCAACACCACATTTGCCAGCATAAGGGACTAGGGGCTATGCTGTTACATAAAAGGTGCCTTTTATGTAACAATCCTTACCCCACCCTCCCGAGGGTCTTTCAAATTAGGCCCACCCACATCACTACAACCTTTTACGTAACAGCCTTTACTCCACCATCCCGAGAGTTATTTAGACTAGGCCCACCCACATCACTATAGCGGAGGTTGGCTTTCTCCAAGGTGATACTCGGGTTATTTTTCACCCCACCCTCACGAAAGTCATTTGAAACCTCCCCAAACTCAAACCTCAAACCTTTACCACCTTAAGGAAGTTGATGCTAAGTCCGATACTATTGAGTCAACAATAGTACTAGATATCATTGAGTCAACAATGGTACCAGACTTAACCTTAATTTTTTTAAGATGATAGAGGTTGGAAGTTCAAATTTGGGGAAGTTCCAAAAGACCCCAGTGAGAATGGGGTGAGAAATAACTCCAAGTACTACCTTGGGGAAAGTTGGGCCCATTGCGCGAGTAGTTAAGGCTCCAGTCCAAAAGACCTCCAGGAGGGTGGGGTGAGAACTGTTACATAAAAAGCGCCTTTTTATGCCTTTTTATGTAACAGTCCTCACCCTACCCCACCGGAGGTTTTTTGAATTGAGCCCACCCACATCATTGTAACGGATGCTAGCTTTTCTCAAGGTGATACTTGAGTTATTTCTCGCCCTACTAAAGAGGTCTTTTGAAACTTTTCCAAACTCGAACCTCCAATCTCTACCACCTTAAG